GGGGGGGGAGAGGTTTTTGCTATAGGGCGCGTGCGCTCGCCAGACAGACAGACAGACAGAAAGCAAGAAATCACTCCCCAGGGGTGATGGCCCCACCCCAATCCCTTCTCCTCCATTCTCCTTCTCGGGATCTTGGGCATGCACGTACATGTGCCCAGCATGAGTTTTAAGCCACCGGTTCCAGGATGTGAACTGTGATCGACTACGTGGGAGTCCAATGATGTAGCCATTACGCTAACTGCTGGTCCCAACTTCAAACTTTTTAAGAAGCAATCTGCCTTAACTCAGCCTTAACCTGCCTTAACTACTGTTAATCTGAAATTCCTGCTCCCTACTTGACCTCCAGGCTCTTCCATGGTTCAGACATTACTATAGGGACACATAGCACTTTTCAGTCATTCACTACTACTTAGATTCATCATGAATAATAAAATACTGCATTTCCTCTACTTCAAGATACTCAGTGCTTTTTGTTTTTTACAATTTAATACCTATCATCTGACCATATTTTATTATATATGTTGGAAAAAACCTATGGGTTGCAGGCAGAATAAGTCATAATACAGCTAATACAAGTATAGACTAGCTGAACATAAGTTATTCGATTATCAACTCAATTGAGTTTTCTGCAAATGTTCATATTACATGCAGCTGAATTTTAACCTACAATCCCTAATATGACTTTGAATATTTAAAATTTCACTATAAACCAGTATTGAATGAAAAAGCTATTGTGTGTGCAAGAGATTGCATGTTGCACACAATTTAATTAAACGGGATAGAAAGGAATAGAAATTATGGACCAACCTCATAGCCATATAGTTAAGGAACTGGATTCCACATGGCTGACTGTATAGTTTTATTCCTGGCCCCAGCAACTTGAGAAACACACTGGACATGTGTGCAAGCATGCCCTAAATCCCAATAGGATAGAGAAATAGAGGACAAAGGACTGCAGCATGACCCACAGGGGGAAGGGGGGAGCTTTTCCCTTTTCCTCACCCTCTCTGATAAGTGCATGCACTCTGGCAACTTAACAAAAAAAAAAAAAAAAAGAAAGAAAGAAAGAAAAAGAAATTACCAAATCTCCTGGAACAGATAAAGAATATTCAAAGCTTAAACGACTAGCAATCAAATGACAAAGGTCTAACTGCCTGAAGCTCCCAGCTATTTAACTTCTAGCAATACATAATCAATCAAGACAAAATAAAACTGTAAGTTTAGTCAAAGAGAATATGCAGATCATGCCCACTGTTCTTTCAAAGGCCTCAAAATTATACCACCAACCTTAAAGATACTATAGGAACCAAAGACCATGAGCAGTGTGTTTTTATAAAAAGCATCACTAAATTCTGAAGTTACAGATAATTTCTAAGAACTAAATATGATGCAGAACTTCATTAATATGAAAAATATCTATACTTCAAACTCTGGTTATGCAAAAAGCGTAATTCATATGTAGGCATATGAATTAATGAAAGCCATCTTAGACATTTTAAGTGTATACCATGTCATGTTTCTTTGTTTCTGGACAGATGCAATTAACTCTAGGTCACATTTTACCATTATCAAAGGCAAAATAATACCCTTATCATTACCAATAGTGCCTTAGATTAGAGGATTATAGAAATTAAAATAACTGCCATTTATAGAGCACCCAACACTATATTTTACATATTTTTTGAGGGTTTTTTGTTTGTTTGTTTGTTTTGCTATAGGGAGGCATATGCTCACCAGACAGACAGAGAGAGAGACAGAAAGTGAGAAATCACCCCACAGAGGGGATGGCCATACTGCAATCCCTTCTCCTCCATTCTCCTCTCAGTATCTTGGGCATACAGTTTAAGCCACCGGGTGTGGGACTAGAACCATGGTTGACTACTTGAGTGTCCAGCAACATAGCCATTACACCAACTGTTGGTCCCTATATCTATTATTTGTAATCTTCATGACAACTCTACAAAGGAGGTACTCTTAGAATTCCCATTTTTCCATCTTTTCCTTTTTATTATTTTTTTTAGCTGCCAGAGAGTATGTACATTTGCCAAAAAGAGGGAGAGAGAGTATCCACAACCCTCCAATGAGGCAAGATCACAACACTCCTTTTTCCTCCATTTTTCATCACACTGAAATTTGAGGCATGCAGACACATGCATTCAGTGTGTTTTTTAAGTGGCCAGGTTTCAAAATGCAGTCAGCCATGTGGGATCTGGCTCTCTAAGCATAGTTCTTAAACTCTATGCTATAAGGCCAGCCCAAGAATTCCCTTCTATATTGGGGCCAGCAGGTGGCATGGTAGTTAGGGGCGCTAGACTCACACATGGATGACAGCAGTGTGAGTCCTGGACCTGATGGCTTGCTTTTTCACTTTCCCTCACTCTCTCTTTGTCCCTCTCTTGTCAAATTAAAATAAATAAAGTTAAATAATTCTTTTTAAAAATTCCCTTTTATATTTAATAAAATTAAGTTTCAACAAGACCAGCGACTTCTCAAGGTCATAAAGGCAGTAAACAAAGACTGGAACCAGGTCTGCTTAAGTCCAAAGCCCAGTTGTGATCTAGGGTACTATAATGCCTCTCCCTACTAACAACCCAGGCAATCCCCACTCCCACCCTGAGACAGCAAACACAGATAAAACTCTTGCTTGAAGAAAACCTACTATGATCTCAGAGCATGAAGGACCAGCATAATTTTAAGGTAGCAGAGTAACCCTCCCAACCCAAGCACCTCCAAACTAATCCGAATCCTGCTGTTTATATAACTGCTTCATTTTCTCAACCTACACTTATGGTAGCAATAGGTTGGACCTACCACCACTAAGAACAGTTCAGAGCAGACAGACCTGAAAATAGGCTCAAGTAGGTCCCACACTGACCAATTGCCTCAACATTCGAACAACCAATCACCAATCAACTGACTGGGTCAGTCCTTCCAATTGTACCAAATAGGAAGCAAGTCCAGAGAAAACAACAAATATATTTAGCAAGAAGCAAAGGTATCCTCTCAGTTTCTGAGGTTATGGCTTGGCCAATGGTATTCTTTTCTCTGGAGGTCCTGCTTCACATTAGACTTAATGGTAGTAGAAGTTCTCCTGAGACTATGGGAGAGTTCAGTTCATTGTGCCCTTCATCTTCTAGAGATCCATCAGAAGTCTTAGAGCAGCCCACGATTTTAATAAACAACTGCTTTTCTTCTCAAGTTTTTCTCGGATGATAGGCTGAGGTTTATGAAGTTTACCCCATTTTCTAGATACATGCCACTGGATAGTTTTATCTCCAGTGTAAAATCCTTTCAGGGTTTTTCCTTAAATATTCCATCAAGAAAGAACCTCAAGCTTGGATGCTAAAAGTGGACTAAGGAAATTCAAGAAACATTTATTGACCATTTCTGAGGATACAAAAATGAGTAATATATAGTTCCTACCATCAGGGAACTCATAGTTGAATGTGAGCAGTAAGACCAGATCAAAACTAATGACAATAAAAAAGGAGAAGATGGACAATGTTATCCTGGAACACAGAGAAGGAAAGAATTAATTACAGATGCAGGATCAGTGATAAACTCGGGTAACACCAATTGAACACTTTTTACTATCAGATACCACATCATTATCTCGTTTAATCTCCATAACCATTCCACAAAATATGTTCTAATACTACTACCCTCACTATATACATGAGGAAACAGAGAGGCAAGGTCACATAGCTAATGTGTACGTATGAGGTAAGACTTGGACTCTGCTGCCCAAGATCAAAGCTTGTTTTATTTTTACTAGAGTAAAATACAACTCCTTGAGTAAAGAAATTCTTTCTGGTAGAAGAGGAGTCAAAACTCATTTCCTCTTCTGTAATATGGGATAACAGCAGTGCCTGCTATGGTGAAGGCTGAATGAACTGAAGAACATAAAGCAAATAGCCAATTGTTTGGCATAATGTAAATATTCGGTAAATACATACAGCTTTGTCATCATCATCATCATCATCATCATCATCACTGTCACTTATTCTTCAAAGGGTCCAGAATGTAGTGAGTCAATGGGTTTTGCTTTGTTTTATTTAAAGGGGTAAAAAAAATAAAAGTAAATAAATAAGGTTTTCCCTCTGAAAAAGAGAGAAGATCTCACCAAACCACAAGTCCTTCCCATAACCACTTCATAAGTGAGCTCCTGTTTCAACAAAGGGCCATGCCATACCTTCTCTTCTGAAGAAACAGTCAGCTTGTCACTGGATATCAGGCTGCACACCTGGTCCAGACTTAGGCTAAGAAATTCTTCCCCCAGCATCACCTCTGGAAAGTGCTGCTCTGTTCCAAAAAAAGCAGAAGTTAGGAAAACAAAATTATAACACACTCCTGCTCTTCCATGAGCCAGTGCCATGACAATCTGTAGAATTCAGAGCGAAGTTTTAGGGTTGGGGCAGTGATGATAGAGACAAAGAAGTTCCTAGAGGGAAACCACCTTTTAATTCAGCAGTGAAGTTATCATCCCATGTGATCTTCCATCAAAAATGGGGCAGAGAGATCTGAGGTTATGTTTTTTCATGCCCCGTGAGATTAATAATGGCATTGCAGAAAGGTCTCATTGGGACTTCCTTACTTAACTGAGTTCATTTTCCTTCAAGGCACAAGTTGGGAGAGTTGCAGACTCTGTCCCCAAACAAAAGTGGGTAAGAACTACTATATGGCTAGAAGTTTCTGGTGTTTTTGAAAAAAGTCAATATTAGAAGGTTGGAAGACAGAATCGTCCTTTCTTACTGAAAGTCAAGCCTACTATAGTCTCTGGTTCATGAAGAAACTCAACTAAGCATCTATGTAGGTATGGTAGCAATAGGTTGGACCTACCACCACTAGGAACAGTTCAGAGCAGACAGACCTGAAGAGCTATAAGGAGAATCTGAGGATGGGTAGAACAAAACAGAGGTCCACACAAGGAAAATGCCAGGGACAATTCCTACCCTGACTTTTACCCAGGATACCATCCTGCTATTATAGAGCATTATATTCACTGAAATGTCATCCACTTCAGAATAAAAGTAACCTCGGTTCAAATCCTAGTCCTGCCACTTATGAGTTATATCATTGAGTCAATGGCTCTATCTTCCTATGCTTCACGATCCTCAATCTGTAAAATGAAGATAACACCAACTGTCTTGCTCTAATGAGAAAGGATCTGTGAAAGTGCTTTGCAAGCTCTTCCAAGGTCAATCTGCCCAAGAGTTGATGATTCCTGGTTCAAGAGGCTCTGGTAATCACAGGATCCTTCCATCTTTTGCTGTAGACCTTACTCCTTTCTCAGTCCTTTCATAACCATGTACCATCACTTCAAGGAGGACCCACGTTCCTTGCCCTCCAAGCCTACCCCCCTTCCTTTTTGGATGGCTCCACTATAGCCTGGTAGGCCCTTGGGTAACACTAAAGAGCTATACTTCCTGGTTCCCACTAAGTGCTACCCCTACTTGATCTGACTGGCCTCATAAATAGATTCAGACTCTCTCCACCCTTGGAAAGCTATTAAAATATCAAGTGTGCTGCAGCTACAGAAAGAAAAGAAAAATCAGAGCAATTAACCTCCTCTTTCATATTCAACTTCTCAACAATCAACTAAAAGCTGGCCTCATAGTCTAGTGGTTAAGGAAGCTGGATTCCATTCAGGGATGACCCCACGGCTCTAGTCTCAGACCCAGCAGCTTGAAAAAGACACCAGATGCATGTGCCAAAATTCCCAATGGGATGGAAGAATGAAGAAGGATTTGTAGAATGATGACACCCTATTAGAGGGTTTCTCCCTGTCCCTCTCTCTCTCTACCTCTTTGTCTGCCTCCAGTGAGCCTAAGTACCCTTGTTAATTTTTTTTTGAGAAGTTATGCTGTAGGGTGCGTGCACTCGCCAGAAAGAGAGAGAGACAGACAGACAGAAAGCAAGAAATCACCCCCTGGGGGGATGGCCACACAGCAATCCCTTCTCCACCATTTTTCTCTCAGGATCTTGGGCACACACGCACATGCGCTCAGCATGACTTTAAGCCACCAGGTCTGGGACTCGAACCATGGTCAACTACATGGGAGTCCAGCAACATAGCCATTACACCAACTGCTGGTCCTCCCTCTGATAAATTTTTAAGATAAAATAAAAATCTTAAGATTTAAATCATTTTTTGCAAAAAATCATTTTTTAACTTTTTGGAGCCAGCAGGTGGCATGGTGGTTCAGGGCCCTGGACTCCCACATGCTGATCATGGATTAAGTCCTAGATCTGGCAGCTTGCTTTCTCTCTCTCTCTCTCTCTCTCTCACTCTCACTCTCACTCTCACTCTCTCTCACTCTGTCCCTCTCTGGTCAAAATTAAAATAAACAAATAAATAAATAAAGTTAAATAAAATAATTCAAAAATTCATTTTTTAACTTTTTAAATTGACATAATTTCAGACCCAAAGAATTGCCATATGAATTCCCACCTTCATTCAGAGTCTCTAAATGTTAATATTTTACTCTCAAGAGAGTTATAGGCTAGCCTGTGGTATGATCTTCAATGTGGCTGGTCCCACATGATAGACTGCACAGTTAAGAGTCTCAGACACAGCAGCCTGTAAAACACTCTGAGCACGTGTGTGTGTAAAATCACAAAAGGAAGGATAAACAGAGAAGAGGACTGTGGTGTCACCACACAGCTCTAGTCTCAGACTCAACAGCTTGAAAAACATACCAGGTACATGTGTGTGGGTGCTAAAAATCCCCCTGGGGTGGATGCTTTCTCATTTTCCCTGTCTGTCTGTCTTTCTGTCTCTGTCTCTCTCTCTCTCTGATGAATACACATATCCTATAGCAAATTTAAAAAATAAAATAAAAAAGGATGGTCTTTATTTCTGTTAATGTCAACAGAAAAAAATGTCTTCAGTTAAAGCTTAGTTTTAAGGGGTCAGACATTCAGATAATCTTGACCAGAAAAGCTATGGAAATATCTAAAACTACATAGTATTATTGTTTAAAGTTTATTCCTGAAGATCTAAAAATAAAAGCAAAAGAGTAACCTTTGGATGATGAAAATTCAGTCTTGGCATGTAGACTGGGAAAGTAGAGTCTCCTTCCATGCCCTAACTAGTCCAAGAAGTCTTTGGACCACAGCCCCCTATCAGTTGGCAACAGCCAAGATACAACAGATAGAAAAAGCAGCCACCGCACAAGACAAAGCACAAGACATCAAGGCTCAGTCGTCTATCATGGCTGAGCCTAATAGGACTATAACATTCTTAGGAAAGTCAGGCAAACCACCACTTACATTTCTGTGGCCCAGAGCCACATCTGGCCTTCCCACATTTATCTCTGGTTGATCAAAAACTGGCATATGGGGCGGGGGGAGAGTGAAGGGAATAAAATGAGAAAAAAAAGTGAAATTCTGTGCTGTGAAAAATAACTTCCTTACAGCTCATAAAGCCCAAAGTAGACAAGCTTAGATTTTTGAAAAGAAAGATAACAGAAGTACAGTAATGCATTTTCTTATTTTTTTTAAAGAGGTTTTTGCTATAGGGCGTGTGCGCTCACCAGAAAGACAGAGAGAGGAAGAGAGACAGAAAGCAAGAAATCACCCCCCAGGGGGGATGGCCACACCACAATCCCTCCTCCTCCATTTTCCTCTCGGGATCTTCGGCACGCACGCACACGCGCCCAGCATGAGTTTTAAGCCACCGGGTCCGGGACACGAACCGCGGTCCACTACATGGGAGTCCAGTGACATAGCCATTACGCTAACTGCTGGTCCCACAGTAATGCATTTTCTAAGTGACTTGAAGATCAATCCAGAAATCCTCTGAGGCAAATCAAAACAGAAAGTAGTTAGCACCCCTGACTCTCCATCTCTCACCCTCTGAGGTACTGCAGGATTCAAATCTAGGTCCCTTCTTTCCAAAGTAGGCTGTTTCTTTGTCCATCTGGAATCTTCTACTGAAGTCCTATTTAGAAACCTTCCTAGGAAGCAGTGTCTGATGGGAAGGGGGCAGCAAGGGAATTAACAGGCAGCAGCTTCTCACCCAAGACTGGCATCCAGGAGATGTGCAGGGCATGAGCAGGTAGGCATAAAGAAAGGGATTAAAAGGGGGGGGGCGTGTGATGGCACAGGAGTAATGCAACTGGACTCACATAGGAGAGGTCCCAAGTTCACTTCCTAGGACCTCCCTGAGTATGCCAGGCACACCGCATGCCCCTGTCTGAGTCTGGTGGGACTGGGACGGGATCATGGTGTGGAAACCCTGTTTGGGGGAGGAGTGGGGGGGAAGGTGCCTGTCTCTCCTTCTCTCTCATAACAACAACAACAATAACAAAATATTTTTTAAGGGAATCTTCTTCCCTTCTTCCCTTTAGTATGAGGAGACAGGCTTGAGTTCCCAGAGTCTTTGGATCAGAGTTCCCATTCTATTAGCAATACTCTAGAAACAATAGGATGCTTTGACTAACTCAACAAAGTGTGATGCACCCGATGTAGTGTTTCTTCAACACTACGATGACTACGAGGAACCTACTGGCTTGTAAAAGGGATTAGACAAGGCACCCATAACTCCAAACCAAGGTTCACAGGGTCATGACTGGGAAAGGCACTTCATATAATAAACAAAATGAGGAAGCAAGAAAATTCAGAGCATATATAGAGAACGGCAAGGCTACAGTTTAGCTAGAGCCTAGGCTATGTCTTCATTCATCTAACAAAAGTTTACTGAGCACCTACTAAATATGGGGACCTATGTCAGACTTCCAGAAGTGTAACAGAAGAGCAGACAAGCTTAGATCTTCAGGAAGGGCTGCATGCCCTTCCTTTAACCATGAGCTAGCCCCTCAATGGGAATCTCTAATAATGAACTCCAATTTTTCTTGTGTTTTTGTTTCTTTTTCCTTAAAGAGGAAATGAAACAAAGAAAGTCAACTAATTAAAGATTCTGGTTAAGAGTCCTTAATTAGCTAGGCTTATACTGTAAATATGAAACATTGTTTAAGTCCCAAGTTCTGATCGATGAGGCACAATGGTATGTTCCTATCCATTTGAATGAGAAATTACAGAGAAGAGGTAGAGGCACTACATATCACTTTTCCCCACCAAGCAACTCAGTGATGAAAGGAGGAAAAATTTGGGTGGCACACTCCTAGAAAAGGACTTTCTTTAGGGGCATAGTCTTTTCGATGAAGCAGACATGGAAAAGAATGAGGCATTTCCTAATAGGAGCTAACACTATGTCAGGTATTTTACATATATTATGTTACTAATCCCCCCACACCCCACACAAAGCCCTGCTGAAGTAAATATATCAATATCTCCATCTT